AAGTCTTGATGGGACGGTGTTCAGTGGGGCAGGAGGGGAGGGGGGGGGCAAGAGAGAAGAAGAGAAAGAACCTCTCCCGGTGGCTGAAGGCACCAAGGGTCTAGATGGAGAAGCAAGGAAGCCTCAGGCCACTTGCCAGCTCTTCAAGCGGGCGGAGGCAGGCCTTTTCAAGCTAAGGTGGCCCTCCAAAAGGGGCATCCCAGGAGAAGGACATCGAGGGAGGGGGGACAAGTGAAAATCTCGACTGGATTGAATTTTGATTGCACTTAAATCAAAGACATGAAGTCCACTCAACAGTCACTCTTCCAGACCTGTATTCCTTCCTTCCTTCCTTCCTTCCTTCCTTCCTTCCTTCCTTCCTTCCTTCCTTCCTTCCTTCCTTCCTTCCTTCCTTCCTTCCTTCCACCACCTTGCAATTGGGTGGCTATTTTGGGAAACATTCTGGAAGCTGCCCCTAACCTAAGGTTTTGGAGGCGAAGGGGAGAAGTCCCAGGTTGCCCAACTTGCCTGGAGCAGAAAGAAGGGTGAGCTGGAAGAGAGTCCTGGAGGTGACCCCACAACCAAGAAATAGGCCTATAGAAGAACTGTTCATCCTCTTGGCAATGTTGCTATGTGCAAAGCAGAAACAGAAGATCCTCCCTAGAAGAAACTATTGGGGACATGAAAGATGGTTACAAGGTGGGCACGTTCTTCTTGCTGATGGTCGTAAGGTGGACGCTCGGGACAAATGGCTCTCTAGCCTCTCCAATAAGCCCAGGTGGCTGCCAGGAGACACACCTGTTCAGAGACAGCATTAGCTCCTACATCTCTGGGATTTGGTCTTCCAGCCTTCTGAGAAGAGGAAGTGGCGCTTCAAGGGGACTCCCAACTTTGGGTCAGACCTGCCCAGCCAATTTACCTGGCCGCCAGTGATGCACAATGTGCAGAAAAGGCACAAGGCTGAACCTCTCCTGCCTCTTTAGCCCGCCCACCCCCACATTTGCCAGGCAGAGATCAGGACATCAGTCCTGGGCAGAAGGAAGATCCAAGTTGAACCTTGGACAGCTCCATGGACCAAGAAGGCTGCTCCATGCGCGGAAGTCAAGATTGCAAGGAGTCCTCCACACTGCACACCTCAAACCCAGGTACCAGGATCGTCTCCAGGTGGTCAGAGTCTTCAGACAGCCCACCCCCATGAAGAATGGAAGTTGTGTCTAGGGCTGGTTTCCCTCCACTGATGGCCAGGTTCTCCCCAGCTGCATGTGAATGGAGCTGAGACTTCCATGGACTTTGTCTTGTGGTCATGACAAGAGGAAGAAGTGGGACTGAGGCTCTTGACCAGGAGAAAGCACGGCCCCTTCGCCCCCATGGAAGTCAGTGGGGAAGGGCTGGAGAAGAGGGGCTCCGCAGAGCTCCCCAAAGCCTCAGAGGGTAGGATCGGGGGCCTCTCTAGCAGCTGCTGGGTTTCCCCTAAGCCTTGTCATTTGGATTTCTCCTCTGCTCGGACACGGCCGACTGTCCAAGCTGGCCAATGTGCAAAGTGATGCTGCCTCTCTCCTCCTCCTCCTCCTCCCCCTCTCCCTTCTCGCTTCGGAAATAAATAAATAAAAAAATAAATGCATAGAATGGTCTTTGGTCAGAAGAAAGGGGTGCAGCTCCCAGGGAATAACTGGAGGTCAATTCTGAGCACATTTTTTGGGGGGAGGCGGGGTGTCTCCTTCTTTGAGGCAGCAAGACCCCAACATTTCAGCCACCAAGGCTAAAACACGACCGGTTGAATCGATGAGAAAAGGGTTGGCGCTGTGGGCTCTGATGGTCTCCCGTAGCAGGCACCCCCTCCCCCCAGGAGACCCCCTGCTCTTCCTCGTTCTTCTCAAGCAGCTGCCAGGAGGGACCTGGGGTGTCCCAAGGCTGCTGGTCCCTTCCCCACAGCCGTGGCGCCACAGACCTCCCTGGCTGTTCTGCTCTCTCACACTTCCATCTCTCCCAGGCAGGTCCTTGGATTTGGCAGCTAGGCCACCTCTCAGAGGGACCAGGGAGGATGGTGTCTCTCTCTCTCTCTCTGTGTGTGTGTGTGTGTGTGTGTAAATTTGGGGAATTGGCTGGATGCGTGTGCGGAAAACTGCATCCTGCTGTGGAGGTGACTTCCAGGGAGGGAAGGGAACCCATTGGAGCCGCCTCATGGCGCTACAATTCCAAGGGTTCTTGGGTAACCAAGGCAGCAGCTCAGGGGATTGACTGGATCTCAGCTTACACCCCGACAGAGAGAAATTAGCCGTCTGTCTCCCACCCCCCCCAGGAGTCCCTGGAGCCACGAGGCACCCCCCCGCCCCGGGGACACGGCCACCACGTGAGACAACTTCACAGCCGGCCAGGGCTGGGGATGGGTTGAAGGGGGGGGGGATGCTCCCTTGGGGGGATTCTTTGAGGGCCCCCAATGGGGTCTCCTCCCTCTCCCTTGTATCTCCCTGACCCTCCCGCTCCTTGCAGCCTTAAGGACCACGAAGCTGAGAAAGCAAAAGGAGAAAGGAAATGAGGAGGGGGTAACAAAAGGAAAAGGGAAGGGAGCCATGGGTGGGGTGGGGGTGGGGGCGTTGGTTCTGTCCAGTCCTTTCCAGCTCCTCTCCTCCTCCTCCTCCTCCTCCTCCTCCCGTCAGACGTAGCACAGGTAGAGGTAGGTCTTCTCTATCCTCCAGTCGGCCGGGATCTCCTCTGGCTTGTGGCTCTTCATGTGCTTCTGCATGGCGGAAAGGCTGGGGCAGTACTCCAGGCAGATGGTGCACTGGTAAGGGGAGGCTCCGTTGTGGGTCCTGAGGTGCTTGATCATGGCGGAGTAATCTCGGGACCGCTGGTGGCAGAGTTTGCACTCAAACGGCTTCTCGCCTGTGGAGGGGGAGGTGGAGGAGGAGGAGGGGGGGACAGGAGAAGAGAGGGGAGAGGAAGGAGGAGGAGGAAGAGGAAGAGGGAGGAGAAAGGAGAGGGGGAAGAGGAGAAGAAGGAGGAGAAGAGGGGGAGAAAGGAGGGGGGAAGAGGAAGAGGGAGGAGAAGGAAAAGAAAGAGGAGAAAGAGAAGAAGGGGAAGGGAAAGGAGAGAGGAAAGAGGAGAAGGAGGAGGAGAAGGGGAAGGAGAAATAAGAGAGGAAAGAGGAGGAGGTGGGGAAGGAGGAGAAAGGGAAGGATAAACAAGAAAGAGAACGAGGAGGAGGAGGAGGGGGAGGAGGAGGAGGAGGAAGGGGAATCATGGGTGGGGGTGGGGTGTTTCAAGTTATTTCCAAAGTGCAGAGGGAACCCTTTTCCTGGACCCCCCACCCTTCTGGAGCCCGGGACGTGGGAGTCAGAGTGAGAATGGCCACCTGGTCTCGGGCCTTACGTGGACTAGTTACTTGGGGGCTACTCCTTGCCTTCCCAGGCCGGAGCCAGCTGGGCTGGGGGGTCTCCAGATACCGAGAGGCTGCAGCCGGCCCGAGAGCCGAGGGGGCTTCCTTCCTTCAGGGCCATAATTAAGGGCCTGGCCTTCTCCTCGGTATCGATAGCCCTTCCGTGCCCAGGCAGAGCAGATAATGAAGTAATGAACAGAAAAAGCAATCTGAATATCGACCTGCTGTTTACAAAAGCTGCCGGCTGCTAGTGCCCAACGCCGCCATGCGCAAGCTGCCCGGGGGGGGGGGGGGGGGGGGGGGGGGGGGCAGGGCTGGAGGTCCCCTTACCCGTGTGGACCCTGTAATGGGTCTCCAGCTGATGCTTCAGGCTGAACTTCTTCCCGCAGCCGTTGCATTCGTAGGGCTTCTCCCCGGTGTGGATGCGCTTGTGTCCTTTCAGAGTGCTCTCGTCCCGGAAGCAGCTCCCACAGAATTCGCACTCGTACGGATGGTCACCTGCAGCCAAGATGGGGGGTGGGGGTGGTGGGGGTCAGAGAGAGGCCCATCTGTGGCCAAGGGACCAAGTCCACCAGGGCCCAGGGGTCACTTGTAGCTCAGGGTTGACACGAGGGGGGGGGTCTCCGACCTTGGCGGTTGTCTTGCAGACATTTCATGACCCAGCTAGGTAACATCATCAGAGCTAGTCACTACGTTACTGATGATGCTACCTAGTTTGGGTAATGAAATGTCTATGAGAAAACAACCAATCTCAGAGAGCACCAAGGACCCCTTAGTCCTCCTCCTCCTCCTCCTCTTCCTCTTTCTTTCTCCCACTCCTCCTCTCCACAAACCCCACACTTCCTTCTAGCACTGATGATGTTACCTAGTTTGGCTAATGAAATGTCTGCGAGGAAGCAGCCAAGTTCAGAGAGCACCAAGCGTCCCTCGGACTTTTAATACTAAGTAATCCGCTTAAAATTGAAACCTTTCTTGTGCAACTAATACTTGGAAGCCATTTGCAGTGGTTCTTTATTCAACGTTATTATACTCAACTTGGGACAGAAAAGACAAACCATTTTATGCTTGCAATATTGACGTCCCAAATTGTAACCAATAGGGGTGGCCGTACTTTACCCCCCCCCCCGTTCTTCTTTACCTGAAACAATCTAAGTTATCTAAGTGGTAGAATGCCAATAATTTTCAATTCATGTTGTAAAAACATCACTGTGGTCAAAATAATACAGCTCGGCATTTATAAAAACGTCATTAAAAAGGAGGTGAAAAATTAGGTCCACCCTGAAGATCCAGGAGCCAAGGTGGCTTACTGGGGTCAGAAGCTGACCATGAGCTCAGAGGATCTCCAAGAGGGATGGAGATGCGCTCCAGGAGGCCTTTGAGTATAAGGTGGTGGCCAAACACTTGTAGGATGGAGACACGAGAGGATGGAAATCAAGATTCCTGGCCACCTTGAAGGAGGACTTGTCTTCTTCTGGACATAGAAGAACCTCATTTCTGGAGTAGCCAATCAACAGGTTCTGGAATAGGGAAAGTTTTTTTCCCACCCAGGGATGTATGTTGGTCCTTTTGGTGTCTTCTGCTGCTCCCCATCCAGGCCGTTGCCCAGGCGAAGTTCTCAAGGGGTTGCTGAGAAGATCCAGACTGTGGCCACCAATCTCAGGATTCCTTCTTCAAGGGGTGGGATGCGGGCAGGCGAAGGAGGAAGCGAGCGAGCGGCTTCAGCTCCTTCGCCCTCTCTTTTAACAAATATTTATTACAGAAACTGAATGGAAGGACAATAAAGATAGATTGATCACCCCAGACTTTGTTCATGAATATTTAAATATTGCTGATTTGTCTTGTCAGTGTAATTACAACCTTCTCCAGGCTCGGCAAATCCGAAGTTTATGGTAAAGAATGGCCCCACTGTATTTCACTTGTCCCGCTGCAGATGTGCAGAGCCGCCAAGCGTGTAATGCTGCTCCCATTTCATACATTTTCCTCCGCTGCTGAAAGCTTAAGTCATCCACAATGACCTACGCTTTTTCATTATCCCCATGTCAAACCCAACTCGTGCCTGAGCATAAATTCTCCGCCTTGTTATAGACTCGTAGGCGGCTGCCTCCACTTCCTCGGGCCCAGGAAATTCGGCTCCCTTTCTGCCCTCCCTCCAGCTGCTTCACAGCTACACCCCACACAACATACACACGCACACAGGTCTTTAGGCACAATTTCTCCTAAATTAGGACCCTCCAGGCATCCGTTGTTGTTGTTGTCTCTTCTTCTTCTTCTTCTTCTTCTTCTTCTTCTTCTTCTTCTTCTTC